CATATTTCTACAAAAGCAGTCAGCAGCTTGCTTGGAGCAAGGATCATAGCGCAAATTTGAAATATATCGATATATCGCCCAGCGCTGGTGACCTAACTGTGATGTTCTTGTCAACTGACAACGATACCAGCGCGAGAGCTCTCATGAGATACTAAATTGAGCAGGTGAATTGAGCAGGCTGATAAGGACGCAAATACGTCCTTGTTGATACTTTGAAAGGAACTTTCTGTACGCACGTCAGCCAGTTATGGGTTATGTCCTCATATTCATACCATTTTATCCCTTTTAACAAATTCTGCCATTTTAAAAATTGTACCAATGAGAATAAATAAAATACATCTGTTTTATCACCTTTTCTCAAATTTCAGTTCAGTTCATCTTTAAAGGGATAGTTCACTTTAAAATTAATTTTTGATATGTTTTAGCTTACCTCACGGGCATCCAAGATGTAGGTGTCTTTGTTTCCACAGTATTTTCAATTTTGACATTTTTAGGTCAAACCGTTGTTGTCTATCAGTCATACACTGGAGGTTTGGGGGGGGTCCACCCTCGGTTCACCTTCTAAGAGCATGCACAGAGAAGTCAAAATTAAACATGATTTAAAGGGCACCTATTATGCCCCTTTTTACAAGATGTAATATTGGTCTCTGGTGTCCCTAGAATGTATTTGTGAAGTTTCAGCTCAAAATACCCCACAGTTAATTTATTATAACCATTTGAAAATGTCATTTTGGGGCCAGCTTAAAAATGAGCTGTTTCGGAGGTATACGGCTTTAAATGCTAATGAGCTGCATATCCCCGCCCTGCCTTTGAATGAGGGCGTAACTTGATACCAATGGCAGTCGGTACTGAGAGACTGAGAGAAAGAAACCGCTGTTTTAAATGTCATTCAGCGTACGTTTGAATCGGAATATATAAATAATCTCTGATCAGACCCAGATGACGAACGGAAAAATAAACACAAATGAGAATGGACCAGTACGTCTCGGTATGGTTATTTGATACATTTATGTACTTAGCGTTGTAATCGCGTCCCCTTTGAAATGATGGGCATGATGTGCAACACACACACACAGACACACAAAAACACTAATGCTGGCGCAGTTTTTTTGAAACTACATACACATAGCGCTACTGTGATAAAGTTTGCTACGTACAAGCGATATTACATTTATGCGAGGGACCTGTGGCGTCATGTTTACTTGTCATACAGGTGCTTCTGTGGCAAATGTGAGGAGATGGCTAACTTAAAGAACAAGAACATGTATGCAGTTTTTAATACAATATCTTTAAATATATATAAAAGTGTGGTTACACACTATACAAACAAGGTTTAAATTATATAGCCTACACAGACATCCTACGACGACAACAACTTTGTTTTGACGCATTTGTTGTTGAATTGGCTGACATTGACTGAAAAGACTATTTGCTCAAAAATCATAAAACACACTTACTGTTACTGGATGTGACGGTGGATCGCAAACAGTAGATGACGATCCACACTTGAGGATTAACTTTTAAACTACAACAACAGGATTAACCCACGAGTCCACGACAGAACACTTATGTTTCCAAGAGACATTACCGGCGAGGATGCTGTACAGATCACCGAGGGCGGGGTCTAGGCCAAAACCACACTGTCAATCAAACCCAGGGGCGGTTTCTTCATTGGGGCGATTGGGCGACGCACCTCCAAAATGTGAATCACATTCACAATCTCATTCAACCAGAGAGTTACGCTAGCCATCACTATATAGTCCAATCAGCGTCATGTCACGTTCTGTGGAGTACCGCCTCTTTTTGGGCGATTTCACTCTGGCTGAGAATCGCCCAGAGTGTTCCCATAGACTTGCATTCAAAGATGTTTTTTTTCGAACTGCAGGCACTGCAACGCATTCTCTATGGGTTCCGGGAGGGCTCGCACTAGCGTGCTTACATCATCATACGTATCCTTAACTTGTGCAGCGATTGGTGGGAACAAACATACACTATTAAAAATCTTTAATATTTGACAAATAATATTTTAAAACATTTTTGAATTCAAACAGCAACAATAAAAAAAGAAACACTACTTTATTATCTTTATCAAATTGATTTTAAAAAAAAAGCGAGAGTGAGAGAGACTGTTGGGACATCTCGCGAGTTGTGGCTTAGACAGTTGAACTTGAACAACGTCATGGCGAACACAGTCCTTTAGAAGCCTACACAGCAAATTTCAGGAGTTGAAAAATCATGAGTTTTTATTTTTTTAACTCTGACTACACTTTGTGTTATTGGATACTCCCCGGCTGTGTTGTATTTTCAGTTCATTCATTGGTGTTCAGGAGTGTGTTTTGGTTTTAACACTAGCTACACCTGGAGTTATTTTTGAGAAGTGCGCCACGACACGACCCTGCCGCTGGATAAAGGAATAATGGACTTATGTGCCTCGTCGTGAGGTAGGTAAAAGAGAATATATTTAAAAATGTTCTATATTTTCTGACAAACACGTTTGGTCATCGCGTAGCTGTTACGTTATAGGCTAGTTATACTGTTTACTAACATATTTTAACTCTGTGCTGGAGTCTATTTGATGGTCTCACATGTACACTCAGATTGAGTTGATTTTAACTAACGGAGTTTATTCCAAAAACCAGAATTTGCTGTGTATGGAGGAGTGATCCAGCTCTTAGATATAATCAAAAATATCTTAATTTGTGTGCCGAATCTCTTTAATGTGATGTAATAAGTGTAATAATAGTGAGTATAGAAACAAGAAGATTTATTGTTATTAAGTCACTTTATTTGTCATTAATATTAAAGTGAAGTTGACTTTACATGCTTAAGCTCTTAATTTATCCATTGCATGGGTGGGCCTTGTCCTTATCAATCATCCAAATATTTGCCCCCCCTGAGAGATTTTGCAGGAGCCGCCACTGATCAAACCCCTTTCTCACTTTCTACATCACAAAGAGCTGAATCTCAGAACAGCTCGTTCTGAGACAGTGCATATGATTTATTGAGATTGTAAAAAAACCACTGGGTGGATTTTTATCATTATAGGATGGTTTTGCTCACACACTGCCAACACACATTTATGTTCAAACACCATGTAAAAGTTAATTTTCCATAATAGGTGCCCTTTAATGACTCGTAAATGTAAGTACATATTGATGGCCTAAGACACGAAACGAGCGGTTTGTGTGAGAAAACGAACAGTATTTATATCGTTTTTACCTCTTGTAATCATAGCCATGTCAAAATAATCTGACGGCATGGGCGCTTCGGTCTGCGCATGCGCTGGAAGTGATCTCTCGCGCGCATAGGTCACTCTTTGTTTATACAGAGATTTCGGAAGTTTTACCTTTCACTAAACATATTTAGATATACGGGAAACCGCAATGGAAGACGATTTCGGTATATCTAAATATGTTTATTAAAATGTAAAACTTCCGAAATCTCCGTGTAAATATTGAGTGACGTCACACGCAAGCGATCACTTCCGGCGTAACATTAAACTGATTCAGTTCGGTTCAGTTGGACATTGCACAACTGATTCAGATCACTTGGATGCGACTGTGATTACACGAGGTAAAAACGATATAAATACTGTTCGTTTTCTCACACAAACCGCTCATTTCGTGTCTTAGGCCATCAATGTGTACTTACATTTATGAGTCATTAAATCATATTTAATTTGGACTTCTCTGTGCATACTCTCTGAGGTGGTGACCATAGACCTGCATTATATGACTGACAGACAACAATGGTTTGACCTAAAAATATCAAAATTGAAAATACTGTGGAAACAAAGACACCAACATCTTGAATGCCCTTGAGTTAAGCTAAAACATACCAAAAATTAATTTCAAAGTGAACTATCCCTTTAATAATTCCAAAAAAGCTGACAGTTCATCGCGATCTCACACATCTCTGTTATTATCAATGAAGCTGACTGAACAATGAATCTTTCATAATATCTACACTTTGTTTGTTATAATTAGAGGATTTGCCAGCATACAGAATTCAGCACTGAATAAAAAAGTCTGTTATGAGCAGTGAGGGAATAGCTCAAAATGCGTAGAGATAACACGCCACTTGACTCGAAAGTGCCGTGTATGTTTACGCAAAAGTCATGATGTCATGTTGGTGATTGGCTACATCGCTCAATAATGCAAACATGTTATAAATAGAACCTCTGGCCTGTAAATCGTTACTATTTAGTTTTAGTTGTTCTTGCAGATGACTAAAAATCTATTAGTTTTTATATGTTTTATAAATAGATAATTTCTAGTTTGTATCTATATTAAATATCTATACCAACATAAACATAAAATTTGCAACGTTACAGCACTCAGCATTAACCTGATGTTGACAATGGAGTTTTCCTGTAGCTTTATCTAGGTCAAAGATAAATATTTCCACTAAATTACTGCCCTGGCCTACCTGTAAACCATTCCCTTGCAACCGGTCCACTCACGCCACTATAAAGTATAGGCTTTCCTGATGCAAAATTAATAGTACAGTAAAGGCAGAGACAGGTAAAGGTCACATTTTTAAGGATCTTAGGATGCCAATAATCAAGACAAGCAAACAGGGGAAAAGTTATTACTTACCTGTGTATCAATATGTGAAGACCCTAGAGATGTCCCCTACTCGGCTCAATCCAGACGTTTGTGGTGCTGGTCCACTGGGGTGACCACACTGTAGTTTCAGCCGTCGTGTGTGCTGACGCGCCAGGTACACTGCAGCCGTAATGCCGGACAGAAGAGGAGTCACACCACCTTATGGAAAGAAGCGGAAATGGATGGAGAAGCATAGTTTACTGTAAAGCTACGTCTTAGTTTGTGCTAATCTTGGCGAAAGCCAAGCCGAGTACAAATCTGCTTGAAGTTTTAAAATCTACTCTCGTGTACTGGAAATCATGTGCAAAATAACTTTTAACTAGATTAATTAAAAATAGTGTTTCAGTTGTCTTTGAGGTTAATTAAAACACATACTTACTGTACAAAGCTGTGTAAAATGGGCCTGGGCTCTGAAAAGAGTCTTTGGGGTGTAGCTCATGAAAAGGAGTCAAATATATTGCAAATGCCTTTGTGAATTAATGTGCACTCAATTTAACTTTTTTTTAACTAAAACAGTATGTTAAGAACATGGCAAATCAGAACTGTATGATACTTCTAGATCGATCACTTACAAAAATCAGATGAAAATCACTCACACTGAAAAAAAACAGAAAAGACCTTTCTATTTTGTTTAACTAACAAAGGTTAAGGCTCTATTTTATGGATAGCTGTGTGCCTTCACTTACTATCACTTTACTACATAACCACTTCTTTATCTGTAATAGAAACGCACAACAAGAGCTGCTTTAATTTTAAGCATGTCACTTAAAAAATCATTAAAAATCCCTTGAGTGTTAGGGGTATTATAAAGGGACAGATGCCATTTTTGTTTGGAAAAAAGTCAGTTCATTAATTTTATGACCGTTTATTAGTTTAGCCTAGTTGTTTTAAGTTAACTTACCTAAGTTATCCTCAGACTGATGAACGAGTTCCCCCCTCATGTCTAAAAATACATACTGTCAAAAAAAAAAAAAACTAATTGAAAATATTTAATACGAGAACATATAACAGTCAGTTAATAATAACTAAAGTCAACAGTTAGTTAATAACTAACCATGTCCAGAAACACGTAAATTCAAGTTAATCCTCCGCCGCCAATTTCTGTCATCCGTTATTATCGAAAACATTTCTCAGAAAACTCGACGTTTTCTAACAAAATTATATTTTTCAATAAAAAAAATAAGTACACAAAACAAAATAAACACTGGCCTGAAAATTGTGTCTTTGAAAAGGATAAACAGAGTCCGATGCTGTAGACTTTAGCTGTAGACGAACACTGAAACCCTGTGGTGAAATAATGGCGTATTTTAACAGTCGCAGCTTTCTCGGATTGGCTTGTTTTGGATTTGAACTTCATGTTCCGATGAGTTTTGACAATTATGCACACGGTAAACATCAGAATATCCCTTCTTCTGTCAATAAAAAATTCCAAAATATAAAATTTTATTACAGACACTCATTTTAGGTGGCGTTTGTTCAACTCATTAAACGTAAAGATAAGTGATATGTTTCCAAACGGAAGTCCGTCGCGAAGTTCAGTGCAAGTGGTCCATTTATATTTTAGGATTTAAATAAATTTTTTACTTGTCCTGATATGTCACCAAATTATCTTAACACATTTTTGAATGTTCTCTTATTAATCCTGTCAAACCCTCAATTATTCTGACTTTAAATATAAAATATTGTTATAAAATGATACTAGAAATATTATTTTTTATTATGAAGTGAAAGGACAAGGTGAGATGTTTTATGTAGAAACATTAGAATCGAAAACAATACTTTTCCCCGCTGTGAACAATGACAAGAGTTCAGCTTCAGTCTCACGCGCGTTCGAAAATGACGTCATAAAGAAGTTGAGCGTTGTCATGGTTCTTTGTGTTGTGTTTGTCAGCTAACTTAGTTCAGCCGTGTGAAACACATACCGTCCGTCAGTCTTCTCGTTGTTTATTCTGCAGTAAATATGATGAAGTTAGCCAAATGTACACTGACAACTGCCATCATGGCAGTGAAGAGAAAGCCCCTCGCTCAGGTGTGCGACTTCCGTTACAGATTCACACCGTCAACATTCAGATACGCCGCGACTACACGGACAAGTGAGGGCAAGTCAAATTGACCATTACAAATCCATCCACACACCACCACATTATATTCAAATTAAACTTAAGTGTTTTTACAATGTACAATTTGGTTTACTGCCATATCTCAAATATTACTCGCACTGCTGTCCATACTTGACATTTCATGTCAAATATAACCATTAATCTTTTAACAGGCGACATTCTGAGCCGGTTTAAAATCGGCAAAAAGCTTGGTGTGGGAGGATTCGGCAAGGTTTATGAAGGGAAGCGCTTGGAGGATGGACTTGAGGTATAGTCATCTTACATTTATCAATTTAGCAAATTCTTTTTCGTCTCACTATCCATTTCAAGTCCTTTTATTGTATGTTATGTTCACTAGGCTATGTGGTGCAGTTTACATGTTTGTAAATGTAATTGTAATGGGCTAAATGTTTTGTTTTGTTGATCAGGTGGCAGTGAAATTTGTCAAAAAGTTCAGGAGCATGCAATTCGTCAAAGTTGTAAGTTTGATCATGAAAACAACATTTTTCCAAAACTGAACAAACATATTTTATTCTAAAATCTTCTAAAAATCCTCTAAACAACAATGATCTTTCTTCCAGCCTGGTCATCCTACAATCCTCCCATTAGAGGTCGGCATGTTAACCGCTGTTAATAGGGGCCCCAAAGTTAAAGAGATTATTGAACTGCTGGACTGGCAGGACCAGCATGACAAATATATCATGGTCTTGGAGCGTCCCCCACACTGCGAAGATGTGTTTCATTTTTGGGTTGATCACAAACGCATCCTCAGGGAGGAAACGGCACGGACAATCATGGCGCAGGCAACAACGGCTGCTCAGACGTGCTGTGACCGAGGAGTTTTCCACGGCGACATCAAGTTACAAAACCTGCTGATCAACAAAAAAACACTTGAGGTCAAACTGATTGACTTCGGGTGCGGGAGATTCCTGAAAGAGTCCGGCTATGACGACTTCTGTGGTATGTATTATGAATCAAGGTTTGAAAAGAGTTTTTATTTTTTAAATTTAGATGAATATATTCTCACTAAATATGTCGCCTCACGCCTGGTTTGGCCATGGATTGTTCTCACTTTTAAAACTCCAGAATTGTGAATAAAAACAACTAAATTATTCATTTACTCTAATGGATACAGAAGGTGTTGATACACGGGGCAACTTTTTTGAGCAAATTTGCAGAACGATGTTGCTTGGGCGCTTTCTCATTGAGAATGGGCAACAAATTTCTACCTGGATGCTTTAGATCGGTCATGGGCCCTTTATCTCACCTGGTTTCCTGTTAACGCCAACATTGCTCAATAAGTTGCCCCGTGTATCGTCACCTGGAGAAAACATGCTATGGGATTTCAAGCTTAACCATCAGACAAATCTCTTTCTAGGCACCATAACGTACTGTCCACCTGAGTTCGACGCATTCCACAGGTACCACGCTAAACCAGCTACTGTGTGGTCTCTGGGAATGCTCTTATTCCAGATGGTGTGTGGAGGCTATCCAGAACCCGAAGAACATCTGATGATTAATGATGACATCTGGTCTGAGCGTCACTTGTCAAAAGGTAAAATGGCATCCATCACAAAAAGATGATCAATTATAATTTCAAATCACCAAAATAGAACAAATGAAACAAAGAAGTAACAGTAACACCAAAACCAGAAAGCTTTATAAAATATGTCTTTTACCAATTCCATTTTTTTTAACCGTACAATATAGCGTAGTCTAATCTCACAGCTTAATAGAAAGACAGCAGGTGTAAAGTTTAAGGTCTCTTCACAGATTGCTGCGACCTGATTCGACGCCTCCTGCAGGAAAACCCAAGACGGCGGATTGGTTTGGAGCAAATCATTTCCCATAATTGGTTTAAGGTAATGACCCTAATAAGCTAGAAATGAATTTGGATTTACAGGTGAAGCTCAAAAAATTAGAATATCATGCAAAAGTTAATTTATTTCAGTAATTCAATTTAAAAGGTCAAACTAATATATGATAGAGAGACTCATAACATGCAAAGTGTGATATTTCCTTTATTTGTTATAATTGTATTCTAACTGAATTTGGGGTTTCATCCATAATCATCACAATTGTAACAAATAAAGGCTTGAAATGTCTCACTTTGCATGTTATGAGTCTCTATAACATATTAGTTTCACCTTTTAAGTTGAATTACGTAAATAAATGAACTTTTGCACAATGTTCTAATTTTTCGAGTTTCACCTGTATATTAATATTTGGAAGACACTTTTTTTGTCTATTTGTTTGATATGTTCTTAGTTTATTGTGAAACAGGAAAAGTCAAGGTCAAATCTCTTATATGTGTAATGTATGTTTATCATCAACCTGTTAGAAAGGGAAGCGATAGTCAGGAGAGACAGAAGAGGAGGAGTAGGTCGGAGCAGCAGCTGAGGTCAGGGTCAGAAAGTGGACGATCAGACCACTGCAGCCACTAGCGAGAGAAGTTTTCTGTTTATTAGAGCTCTGTACATCATTTTCAGAAAGATTAATGCAATCCCATATATACCTGGAAAACTGGCATGCCACCTGCCAATGAAACAATCCAAGAAAGTGAAAACGTGTATTTCTGTTACTTTTAATAATGGCGAAAGGTGAAATGTATATTTTTCTTCTCCAATTATTTTTTCCCCAAAACAGTTGCTGTCAAAACCCAAATTTAATGGAGTGGATAAGATCAAAACATGGACATACATGGCTGCTACGGTGACCCCTGGACCGGATTACGCACAGGTACTCTGTTTCTCTGTCCAGGTCGTATCCAGATTGAGTCGACGCGGCTGAAAAGCATCGACCATTTGAGGAAAATGAGATGCCGATGAGAAAGAGGACAAGGACGGGAAGTTTTGTGAAGCTGCCGTCTCTTCATTATCGCAGCTCAGACCAGACCAGACCACTGCACCGATAAATGAGAGAAGTGCTGAGGGTAAATCAAATGACCATTACAAATCCATGTGTTATATTTTAACAAAAGAATCACCATAATGGGTATGCAGTGTGTAATTATTATGTATTTCACACAGAACAGTTAGATATTGAGCTGACACTTTTTATCCAAAGCATCATTTATTTGAAACGTGAAATTCTCTACTGGACAGTGCCTGTGCTCTAGAGGATCATGGTCTTCAGGAACCTCTATCCAGTGGTCTTGAAGTCGTTCCTCCTATAGAGCCGCAGGTTCAAACCCCTTCAGCTCCAGTCCACCACAGTCCAGCACCAGATCACAGAGTGGACGTAACAACTCAGGGTGAGTTTACTGCCATATGTCAAATATTACTCTCACTGCTGTCCATGCTTGACATTTCATGTCAACTATAAGCATTAATCTTTTAACAGACGGCTTTTAACTTTTGGCTGCTACGGGACTGAATGTGACCCCTGGACCGGATTACGAACAGGTACTCTGTTAAACTCTTCTAAACTAATTTTTTTGTAAAGATTTCACTGGATTGATTGTGGTGTTAACACCCTTGATCTGTGCTTGAGGTGTGTGCCTCAGAGTCTCAGGGTGTAGTCAATACTGAATTTCCAGGCTGTATCCAGATCTGGCCATGACCTTAGCCTGGACACGATGACGATGACAATGCAGTGCTAAAGTGCCAACTAGCCTCTGGAGGATCCCTTTCCCACTCTACAGATTAAGCGATGTGAATTCGTTTCGCGTCCCTACCCTGAAGTGATTCGAAAATCTGTATCAAATTTATAGACAAGTAGTTTGTTCAGGCATGAGGGAATTTAAAAACCTGCGCGCATATATTCAAACGCACATAACTATTGAATCAATTCTTAATGCGCATGTGAACGTCATCTGCAGGGCTGTTACTACCAATTTATCGCAGGATCGCGTTTAAAGTCTATTTAAAAACATTCATATACATTTTTACGTGACAGTTACTGTAAATTCGGCCTCTAGTTCATAAGCGCCAGAGGAGAACTGGCCCCCGACTGAGCCTGGGTTCTCCCAAGGTTTTTTTTCCTCCATCGGGTCACCTGATGGAGTTTTTCAGTTCCTTGCCACTGTCGCCTTTGGCTTGCTCAGTTGGGGATATTCAAATCAATTATACTACAGGGCTGTTGAACGCTTGATTCTGATTGGTTGAGAACATTCAATAGGTGTGCAATTATTTTGACGGCTAAAGTAGTTTCAGGCAAGTTTGAACCGCATTACAGTTCCATATCACTGCGCGTAGTTAACGGAAAATAGGATACAATTCATAACAAGAGAAGACATGCAGCCCCATGCGCTTGATCTGCAATTTTCGATGTCTAACTTCACAATCAGTTGACGCATACAGTTTAATTTTAATAAATAAAGTTTAGTCCTATCTATAATAGGCTAAATAGAAAATTAAACTGATGAGGCTATATAAATGAATTAATAGTCCTCAATTATAGAAAACAATAATGAACGAACTAATTAAAACGAAGTTAATAAATAAATAATAATATTGACGCACTTGCTTTTCTGTCTCATTATTTTAACGTCTCTCTCTCTCTCTCTCTCTCTCTCTAATAACTGCATTAATAACTGGATAAAGCCGGGACAGACTAGTTTAGGCCTACTAAGGCCATTATGAATGTAATTTGATACTTCTGACTGATCATGCCCAAACGCGCGTTCAGTCTGTGTTCACACAATTGGTGTTTAAGACCTGCTACAGTCGATGGAAACAGTCGGTCTTCGAATATTTCAGTGAATTGTAAGTGTGTCCCCCATCATTACATTAGTCTGCTATCAGTGGCTCAAACTTCCGTTACTACTAACTCTAAAATGACGTTTTGGAATTAGCAACGGAGGCATGGGATTAGATGCGTAAGAAATTAGTCCTACATTCAAGAGCGCTTTAATATCAAAAGCTTGACAAACGTCTTGATATGAATCATCTGAACAAGGTTTTGAGTCAATTCACTTACTAAATTATATAATTAAATCATTTATATAGACTAAAACATATATGTGAATAACATTAGCTTGAAATGCAAATAACACACTATGAGCTAAAATTAGCAGTCAGTGTGAGCAGAATTTGGGTTAAATTATGTAACCCAACCCTGCTGGGTTAAAACATTTAACCCAACTTGTAGAGTTATTTTAACCCATAATTTGTTATGTCCAATATTTACCCAGCAAGTGCTGGGTTACCAAATTAGTTGTTTTTAACCCAGTTAAACCCAGTGTTTTTAATTTTTGGAGAGTAGGATCTGTAGAACGTAGAATAACAAAACTGTAAACAAAAGAAAATGATTTCTTGTTACAGTTTAATTGATTTATCTCAAACAATAACGTCAATGTTAGAAATTTCCATGAGCATATGTGCGAGACAACATTCGAGGTGTGTTGAAAAAGAGCAGAATGGATTACTAGGAATAGGAAATTATTACGTAATTATCTAAAAATGCTTCTGGAGAAGTACTGGGAGGGAGACATAGCGCTTTTCCACAGCAAACCCGACCTGCTTAAGTTTTAGCCGTTTTAGCTTTTATTCATCTCCAGGATATGAATTCTTGATGTCAACAATTAAATTCTTGGTATCAACAATTACATTTTTGATATCAAGAATTACATTTTTTACATTTTTGATATCAACAATTATATTTTCACTAGTGAAATGTCCCCATAGGCTGCCATTCAAAACCAATTGTTGATATCAAGAATTGATTTCTTACTAGTTGAAATTCCAATTTCACATATCAGAAATACAATTATTACTAGTAGCTGCCATTCAAAATGAATTGTTGATATCAAGAATTGTTTTTTAACTAGCAGAAATATCATTTTTGATATCAATAATTACATACTAGTAAAAATGTGAATTCCTGATATCAATAATTAAATTGTCACTAGTTGAAATGTCTATTCTTGATATCAACAATTCAATTGTTACTAGTAAAAATTACCATTTTTGATATCTGAAAATGTATTTCTGATATCAATATTATTTCAGATATCTAAAATGGCTTTATTACTAGACACCAATAGTGGAGAAAAAACACTTTTTTTTACCCCAGGATGGACCTGTAGACCGAGGTCAAGTTAGTGAAGTGATCCGTTGGAATTTACATTACACATTTAATTGTTTTCTCCTCCAAACCACTAGCTCACGGTAGCACTATATAATTTACATTTTTTCATTAAAAAAATACGTTTCAGAAAGCCTTTATTTAGCAATGGTAAAAAGTGTTACATGGAATGAATAAACGTGTTTACAGGATGACATTTTTTGTGTATATTCATATATAGTTATTTCTATTTATTCTGTTCATGTTATGATTTCCTTTTTGTTGAATTTTAGCAAACCTGCTAATGTCAAAACACGAATCTTTAAAACTTGCATTACAATGACACAATTTGGTGTAAATGCAGAGTACCATCGTTGTCAAACAAACAGATTATTTTGTCCTTCCAAAACACTCTTCAGAAGAACTTTTCAATATTCACATTAAATCGATTTAAATCTAAGTTGACTACAGTATTTTCACATCACACATCATCAGAATATGTATGTCTCATTCTGGAGCATTAGAAATGGATGTGAAAGAGATCCTAATCTATTTAAAGGAGTTGTACAAGAAACACTATTACATCAGGATGCCCTGTATCATCCAGTTTATCACCATATATGATGCATTTATATAAACTCAACGCGTTTCCTCAACAGTAGGGCGTTTGTACAGTACTCCATTCTCCCAGATGTCTGCAGTGGTTTGAGGTCAGTATATATCAGGCAGTTGTGAGTAGTTCCTGTTCCAGTAGCTGCCGTTGTAGAGCCAATCTGGAGCTTTGGTGTGAGGGCTCGGCCCCTGATGAAACCACCTGTGTGTGAACATGAGTTTGATGTTAAGGTGTAGATCAGATCTGCCGATTTCTATAAACACACAGACTCTTTAGGACCATGACACACCAAGACCACTGTAGAGGCGTCAGTGAGCGTCTGTCGGGGTAGTTTTCGAGGTATGTTACACATGTCAGCTCTAGCGATTCAATGTATAAGAATAAAGGCAAAAGTGACGAAAACTAGCAAAGTGAAGACGGTACAAACTTTGAGCTTTTGAGCAATATGCAAATATTTTCATAACATAAGCCGCCAGAAATGAAAAAAGTGTTCAGCCTGATTGGTATTCAAAATGGTAAGCAAGCATTGCCTTGTTTATGGTTTGTCTAGTTGTGTCCTAGTCCTAGTTTTTGAATGGCGAATATAGACTACTGATACTAGACTGCTGATTTAGACATTATTGTGTGAGGTCTGGGAAATGAGTCAGCTTCTGAAACACTGGAATTATACTGCTAAATTAGTTTATCAGTATGATAAATAGTGATAAACACAGTAATCATTGTTTCATTTTTCATTGCTTTGCCTGCATAACTGGATCGTAAACTAATAGATCAGGATAAATTCAGTAACAGCTCAAGTCTGGTTGTTGTGTAGATCAACCTCACTTTGTGGGAAGGGGTCGTCGTTTTAGCGCAAAGAAGACGCCACAGTTACGTACTCTGATGTGTATTTATTCAAGAGGATCTATTATGCCTTTTTACAAAGTCTTGATTTTGTTTTCAGGCTCTACTAGAATAGGTTTTCATGCTTGAATGTTCATAAAACACCTTATTTTCCCCATATTATCCATTGTTGCGGCTCCTCTCTTCCCAGTCTGTCAGTAACGCTTGGTTTAGTTCCTGTCTCTATGAAGCCCCTCCTTCTGAAAAGCACAATGTGCTCTGATTGGTCGGCTGGATCAGTGTGTTGTGATTGGTCGAGCGCTTCGAGCGTGTTTGGAAATGTCCCGCCTCCTACCATAAATGCCAATTTCAACACACTACTAACTAACTCAACCAGGCTCCGCCCCTTTATTCTGAGAATTATTTAAATGAGGACTACTGTGACGTGTTTGTTACCGAAAGAAACTCAAACACTACAATTAAGGCGTTTCAGGAGTTCAGAAACACTGACTCTGATATAGAGAAGAACTCCCGCTGGAGGGACTTTGTGCTTTGCAGAGCTTTTTCAAAATTACACACTGAAGAAAGATGATCATGGAAAAAAGCAGAATAGCTAACATTTCAAACCTTATTTTCCATTCTTCATTTGATTGGGAGCGATTTTTCCGAGCCATGCGTTGTTTTTCCTCCAGTCTGTTCTTCTCTGCACTGGCTACATCTGGGGAAACAGCAGCAATGCGATATATAATTAAGTAGTTTTAAATGATATCATTATATATAAAGTTGAACAATAACTGATGATGTATGGATCAAGGACTGACGATCTGTCGTCCATCATTGAGGGCAGGATGTTGATATGCGTTTAATATTAAACATATTCACTCACCTAAAGGATTATTAGGAACACCATACTAAAACTGTGTTTGACCCCCTTTCTCCTTCAAAACTGCCTTAATTCTACATGGCATTGATTCAACAAGGTGCTGAAAGCATTTTTTAGAAATGTTGGCCCATATTGATAGGATAGCATCTTGCAGTTGATGGAGATTTGTGGGATGCACATCCAGGGCACGAAGCTCTCGTTCCACCACATCCCAAAGATGCTCTATTGGGTTTAGATCTGGTGACTTTTTGGGGCCATTATTGTACAGTGAACTCATTGTCAGGTTCAAGAAACCAGTTTAAAATGATTTTAGCTTTGTGACATGGTGCATTATCTTGCTGGAAGTAGCCATCAGAGGATTGCATTGGCATTTAAACGATGCCCAATTGGGACTAAGGGGCCTAAAGTGTGCCAAGAAAACATCCCCCACACCATTACACCACCACCACCAGCCTGCACAGTGGTAACAAGGCATGATGGATCCATGTTCTCATTCTGTTTACGCCAAATTCTGACTCTACCATCTGAATGTCTCAACAGAAATCGAGACTCATCAGACCAGGCAACATTTTTCCAGTCTTCAACTGTCCAATTTTGGTGAGCTCTTGCAAATTGTAGCCCTTTTTTTTCCAATTTGTAGTGGAGATGAGTGGGACCAGGTGGGGTCTTCTGGTGTAGCCCATCTGCCTCAAGGTTGTGTGTGTTGTGGATTCACAAATGCTTTGCTGCATATCTCGGTTGTAACGAGTGGTTATTTCAGTCAAAATTCTATCAGCTTGAATCAGTCGGCCCATTCTCCTCTGACCTCTAGCATCAACAAGGCATTTTCACCCACAGGACTGCCACATACTGGATGTTTTTCCCTTTTAACACCATTCTTTGTAAACCCTAGAAATGGTTATGCGTGAAAATCCCAGTAACTGAGCAGATTGTGAAATACTCAGACTGGCCCGTCAGGCACCAACAACCATGCCACGCTCAAAATTGCTTAAATCCCCTTTCTTTCCCATTCTGACATTCAGTTTGGAGTTCAGGAGATTGTCTTGATCAGGACTACACCCCTAAATGTATTGAAGCAACTGCCATGTGATTGGTTGATTAGATAATTGCATTAATGAGAAATTGAACAGGTGT